TGCCCGGGGCCGGCCGTGGGGCGGGGCTAGGCATTGCTAGTGGCGGCACCGGCTGCTTACCTGAAATGCTGCCCCTGGCAAAGTGCCGCCCCAAGCACCTGCCTGATTTGCTGCTGCCTAGAGCCGGCCCTACCTACCATGCTACAATAACCCCTTCACCGTATCCCAAAGATGTCTCATGCCCAAAAAACTACGTATTCAGGGAGTATACTCAAGTGAATTATGCAAGTGCTCTTCATGCACAATTGTTGTGTATTGTGTATACTGACTAACATTAAAGCATAACTCAAAGGCTATGTCTAGACTGCAAGCCTCTTTCGAAAGAGGCTTTTTTGAAAGATACTTTAGAAAAAGCCTCTTTCGAAAAAGAGCATCTAGACTACAACCAGTACCTTGGAAAACGCAAGCTGCTTTTTTGAAAGAGAGCACCCAGGCAGTCTGGATGCTCTCTTTGGATAAAGAACAGTTTGCTTTACATAGTGCCTTTTTTCGAAAGAGCACTTTCGAAAAAAGGCATTATTCCTCATAAAATGAGGTTTTCCGTGGTCGAAAAAACTGCCGCATTCTTTTGATTTACTTTCGAAAGAACACAGCAGCAGTCTAGATGCAGAGGAAGTTTTTTCGAAAAAACCCTGTAGTCTAGACACACCCAAACTGGACCCTGTCCTGTGCTGGTATGTAAGAGAAGCAGGGATGGAAGACACCTTCTTGCCATTGTGCTGTGGCTAATCACAATCCTTTCACGAGGCAAGGATGGAAGGAACTTTCTTCTCATTGTGCTGTGGCTAATTATAGTCCTTTCATTCCATGAGTGCAACATCTTTAAGGTTAGTTTTGAAACACCACACTCTCTCCAAGACAGGTGGGGAAAAGACATAGCAAAAAGAAGACATGTTGCCCTGCGCTGGTTGGTGCACATGGGGAAATGTTGTGCTCTATAAAAGGGTACAACAGAGGCTACTCTTGCCTACACTCTGATGGTATTTTGCTTTAGGCAAATACAGTACAATGTTTCTACAAGCTTTCCATGCCAACTTTTGTGGGCAGTGGTTTGCATGCAATAGTCTTACAAATGGGAAGAACACTAACTGTATAATACACTGCCCTGAGTAGCAGATTCAGGATATCTTTGTCCTGTAGTGGGTCACCCACTGATGTGGAAGAGGAGGAGCCCCTCCGGTCATCATGTTGGGCTGGGGCTGAGGCTGATCCTACCCAGTCACCTGACTGGAAGCCAGGGGGAGGGGCCAGAGCTATAAAAGCCCAGCCAGCAACCTTCCTGGGGCCAGAGGCTGACTACATACTCCCTGCATGGGAAGCTGAGGCCTGGCCCAGCCCGCCTACCTTCGCCAACCTTGCGGAGGACCCAGAGGGCCAGCCTGATCCCGTGCTCCAGCCCCTGCCCAGAAACCAAGAGAAGCGGCTGCCAAAGGCTCGGCCCGGGACTCTGACAGAGCTTGACCCTGTGGCCTGGCCTGGACGCCTGATGCCGCCAGCACTAAGAGCCCAGCTGAGCCCAGCTGACCTGAGGGCGGCAGTGGACTGGGCCGGACTGCCAGGACCCCAGTGGGACGAACTTGCCATGAACTCCATGAGCACCCAGCCAGAAAGCCAGGAACCGGCTGAAGGGAAGACAGGAAGTGGCCCAGGGGTTAGTGGAGGCTGTTAAAGGCCCCAAGGCCGGTGCGTTTTGGGCTGGAGCCCCCGCTGAGCCCGTAGCAGCCTGCATTGCTACTCCTAGGGCCCTGGTCCGGGGTGCAGTGGAGTCGGTGGGCCTGTGCCCCCCCTGTCACCTCCCTACCGGGTGGCAGTCTCCCCCTTCTTGTCACTACCACAGGCAATTGGCCTGCACTCCTCCTGAACAAGGAACCTGGCGTACCGGTAAGACTGACTCTGAGCTTATAAACTCTGTGATTGTGTGCAGCCATCCCTGAACCAGGGCCTGACCTCCCAGTAAACTGATTGCTGAATTGCCACGCCCAGAACCAGGGCTTAGCCTAACCCCAAAGGGGGACTTCTGGGGACTTGCTGCCCTCCTTGAACTAGGGCTGGGCCCGCCTATCCCCGCAGACTTTGTTGTGTGCTGCCCACCTGAAGGAAGGTCAGGCACAGACTTGTGACATGGGGGCTTGGTTTAAAGGGACAGTGTAGTGGGGCAGAATGGCCGCCCACTGATGCGGAGGAGGAATCCCCCTTCGGGAAGCCAAGCCGACTACAGTCCACAAAAAGTTCTCTCGAGCCCAAATTATAGTAGCATTAAGTATAAAACTAGAGGACAGAGTGCAAGTAACTTATATATTTCCTTTGGCAATACAACAGCTGAATATACAGATACGGAAACTTCAGTAGGGAATATCTTGCTATTAAGAATTATGTAACCTGTTCTGCTAATAGAACTCTAACAGAGAAAAACAAGTCATGTCTTGCCTGTGCAGTAATGATGGTTCTTCAAGATGCGTGTCCCGTTGGTGCGCCACTGTAGGTGTCAGGCTTGTCCCGGCGCTGCAAATTGGAGAACTTTTCCAGCTGTAGTCTGCCGGACCGCGCGAAGCGTGGCTCATGCCTTTTCACGCCGTTTGTGTGCGTGTGGTCCGGCTCCTGCCAGTTCCTCCTGATCCTCTTGGTCTGAAAAAGACAAAATGATATTTCTGTTCTGCCGGACCGCGCATGTGCGAAGCACAGCTCGTGCTCTTTCGCGCCATTTGTGTTCGCGCGGTCCAGCTCCCGCCAGTTCCTCCTGATCCTCTTGGTCTGAAAGACAAAATCATACTTCCGAAGAGGGGAGGAGGGCGGGTCATGGAGCACCCACAGGACACGCATCTCGAAGAATCATCGTTACTGCACAGGGTGAGTAACTTCTTTTTCTTCTTCGAGCAGTGTCCCGTGGGTGCTCCACTATAGGTGAATATGCAGCAGTAGCCCCTGAAAGGAGGGGGGTTCGGAGCTATCGTGCTGCACCTGTGGACAGCACCGCTGTTGCCACTGCTCCTTCTGGAAGGTGAAGGTTGGGAATGGCATAGTGCTTGGCAAAGGTGAAATTTGACGACCATGTAGCAGCCCTACAAATGTCTTTTAGAGGGATGCCCTTCAGGAATGCAGTTGATGTAGCGACTGCATGCGTGGAATGCGCTGTCAGATTCTGCAACAGTGGTCTACTACGTAGGGTATAGCATTCCTTTATGCAGTTCACTATGATTGACAAAATGCGCTGTGCTGACAACGGTTGACCCTTAGAACGATCGGCTGTAGACACGAATAGATTGTTTGTCTTCCTGATGGACCTAGTCCTGTCTATGTAGAAAGCCAGGGCACATCTGGCATCCAGAGTGTGTAACCGAGTTTGCTCTGCCGAGACATGGGGCTTTCGATAGAAAGTGGGAAGTACTACTGATTCATTGATGTGAAATTGTGAATTCACTTTCGGAAGGAAAGTGGGTTGAGGACGTAAAATGACTCCTTGATCGGTAAACACTGTGTATGGGGGTACAGCGGATAAGGCAGCTATCTCACCAACCCGTCTTGCAGAAGTTATCGCAATGAGAAAGGTAACTTTCATTGTGAGAGTGCGCAAGTCGCATGTGGCTAAGGGCTCAAAGGGTTTTTGAGTTAACGTGTTAAGAACTAGCTCTAGATCCCATGGCTGCGCTGGCCGTGTTCGGTGTGGGAAGAGATTAGTCAAGCCTTTCATGAAGCACCACATCATCGGGTGGGAGAAAACTGAATAACCATCTACAGCATGGTGTAACACAGTGATTGCGGCAACGTGCACTTTAATAGAGGCGCAGCTGAGAGAAGAATTCTTGAGCTGCACGAGGTAGTCTAGGATACGGTGAATGGGCACGGAGTAGGGGTCCAGGGATGCCGATGAGCACCATGCTGAAAACCGTGCCCATTTGTGAAGGTAAGTGGATCTCGTAGATAATTTTCTGCTATATAAGAGAATGTGCTTGACCTCCTGTGAACAGATCATTTCTGTTTGTTGGAACCAACTAGGAACCACGCTGTCAGTGCCAGTAGGTCGATCTGGGGATGGAACAGACGTTGATTGTTCTGGACAAGAAGGTCGCGCCTCTTGGGCAGAGGGAATGGAGGACGCACTGACATTTGATGGAGGTAAGGAAACCACGTTTGTCTTGGCCAAAAGGGAGCTATCAGGATTACCGTGGCTTTGTCCATTAGTACCTTCTCTAGTACTCTGGGGATTAGAGGTGTGGGCGGGAATGCATACAGCAGTTGATGGCTCCAATCGTATAGGAACACGTCCCCCTTGGAGTTCCGACCCATTCCTGCCCTTGAACAGTATTGGGGGCATTTGGCGTTCATTCGGGTCGCAAATAGGTCCACTGTTGGAAATCCCCAGGAACGGAATATGGTTGAGAGGACTTCCGGTTGGAGCTCCCATTCGTGCTTCAGGGAGAAGCGTCTGCTCAGTGCATCGGCCATAGAATTCTGCTGACCAGGTAAGTATTCTGCAATCAGGGAGATTTTGTGGAGGATGCACCAATCCCATAAGGCAATTGCCTCAGCGCAAAGTGACCGGGATCGGGCCCCGCCCTGCCTGTTTATATAATATACTGTGGTCATGTTGTCGGAAAGGATTCGGACAGTTTGAGTACGAATCTTTGGGAGAAAGTGACGACAGGCATTGCGCACCACTCGGAGCTCTAGGAGATTGATATGCATCATCGACTCCGAGGGGACCAAAGCCCTTGTACCTGATTGTGTTCCAGATGTGCGCCCCAGCCTAGTAACGATGCATCGGTGGTCAGCTGTGTTGTCGGCTGTTGGCGATGAAATGGAACACCCGACATCAGATTTTTGGGAACTGTCCACCATGCTAAAGAATTTCTGACGTGAGCAGGAAATGGTACTCGTTTGTGGACGTCTCGAACATTTGGAGTGTAAACAGTAGCTATCCAGTGCTGGAGACAACGGAAGTGCAGTCTTGCGTGCTCGACGACGTATGTCGTGGCTGCCATGTGCCCCATAAGCCTGAGACATTGTAGGACCGAGGGCTTGGGACTGGTGATGATGGCCTGTATAAGATCTTGGATTGCTTGAAATCTGGTTATTGGTAAGAGAGCACGAGCAGTGGTTGAGTCGAGTTGTGCTCCTATGAATTGTATCGATTGGTGCGGCGTCATGGCCGACTCTGGGATGTTGATGATCAGGCCCAAGGTTTCGAAAACTGTTTTTGTGAGGTGTGTCACACGTAAAGCCTCTGCCGCTGAAGGCGCCCTGATTAGGCAGTCGTCTAGGTAGGGGAATATTATTACGCCGAGACGTCGTAGGTACGCCATTACTACTGCCAGCGTTTTGGAGAAAACCCTGGGAGCCGACGAGAGACCAGTCAGCTGTATTGTTGGGTGTTGGTGATGAAATGGCACACCCAACATCAGATTCTTGGGGACTGTCCACCAAGTTAGAGAATTTGTGACATGCACGGGGATTGATACCCGTTTGTGGACATCTTGAACATTTGGAGTATAAACCGTAGCTATCCAGTGCTGAAGGCAACGGAAGTGAAGTCTTGCATGCTCGACGACGTATGTCGTGGCTGCCATGTGTCCCATAAGCCGGAGACATTGTAGGACCGAGGGTCTGGGACTGGTGGTGATGGCCTGTATAAGGTCTTGCATTGCTTGAAATCTGGTTATTGGCAATAGAGCACAAGCAGTGGTTGAATCGAGTTGTGCGCCTATAAATTGTATCGATTGTTGTGACGTCATGGCCGATTTTAGAATGTTGATGATCAGGCCCAAGGTTTCGAAAACTGTTTTCGTGAGGCGTGTCACGCGCAGAGCCTCCGCCACTGAAGGAGCCTTGATTAGGCAGTCATCTAGGTAGGGGAATATTATTACGCCTAGACATTGTAGGTACGCTGTTACTACTGCCAGCGTCTTGGAGAAAACCCTGGGAGCCGACGAGAGACTGAAGGGCAGGACCCTGTATTGGAAATGGCCTGCTCCTAGTTGAAAACGTAGAAATCGTCTGTGAGCCGGGTGTATCGCTACATGAAAGTAAGCGTCCTGTAAATCGAGGGACGTGAACCAATCTCCACTGTGAAGCGCTGGAATGATAGTGGCTTGGCATTTAGATGGCCAGATGTTTTTGGCTGAAGTGGTCTCTTCTGCTGTCACTGCCGGTTGCGTTGCTGGTCCTGCTGTCTGTATTGGGATGGCTGAAAGGCAAACGATCTCTGTCTCTGATATGGAGTATACCTTTTCCGACGGAAGGGAGGAGTATACATGCCCAGAGTCTTGAGTGTGGTTCTAGAGTCTTTACCCGAATGAAGCACCTGATCAGTTTTGTCAGAAAAGAGATTCTGTCTGTCAAAGGGTAGGTCTTGGACTTTGGTCAGAAGGTCTTTAGGAACTGCCGCCTGGTGTAGCAACGAGGCCGTGCGCATGACCACGGATGTAGCTGTGGTACGCGCTGCGGTATCAGCCATGTCCAGAGCTATGTGAAGAGCTGTTCTGGAAGCTGTATAGCCCTCGTGGACCACCGCTTTAAGGACCTCCCTTTTGCCCTCAGGTAGATGTTCTAGTAGGGGTGCTAGTTTGGCATAGTTGTCAAAGCTATGATTAGCTAATAGCGCCGCATAATTTGCCATCCGGAGTATAAGGGTAGCAGACGAGCAGACCTTTCATCTGAAGAGGTCTAGCTGTTTCATGTCCCTGTCTGGGACACTCGGTCTTTGCTGCGGGCCTTTCGTTCTTTGTTGGGCCGCATTGGCAACCAGAGAATTCAGCTGAGGATGAGAGAAAAGAAACTCCATCCCTTTCGCCGGAATGTAATATTTTTTGTCTGCTTTTTTGTTGGTGGCCGGTGCAGAAGCCGGCAACTGCCATATGTCATCAACAATCTCCAGAATGGCATCGTCCAATGGGAGAGCCACCTTCACCTGCTGTGAAGGATGAAGATTCCTAAGCAAATGGTGGGATTTCTGCTGAACTTCCGCAATCTGTACTTTTTGTGATACTGCCACTTTTCTGAAAAGGTCTTGAAACTGTCGGAGGTCGTCCGACGGAGATGTGTCTTCCTGAAATACAGCATCATCAGGCGAGGAAGAGGATTGGTC